AACAGATAAGCAACAATCACTTCAGCCATTAGAAGTTACACAATACATGTTTTGAATACAGATGGGTGTATGGTTAGATTGTGATCATGTTTACGATAATACACTATGCTATAAATTGTGATTACGCACACTGGTCACATCGAGAGACAAGGCAGAGTAATCAGCCGTTAATCCTGCACGGACTGACAACATCATTTGTTAATTAATGAAGTGCAAATGGATAGGCAGACGGATGAGTTTATACAAACTGAAACCTTCAGGGTGTGGCCTGACAGAGGTATAGTGTTTTCAGACATTGATTTTTAATTGAAATCACAGCCACAAATCTTAATTCTTAGTAATTAAAATTAATTTTAAAATGTCGGAAAATGTTTGTAGTTTGTTTTTGTATTCAGATCACGGCATGTTAAAGCCGGCTGAATACTATAGTGTATCTAAGACAGAGAGGTGATGTTCAAGGTTTTCACAAAATATTCAGCGTGTTTATATTAGCCTAACAACATTACACGTTAATGGACACAATAGAGTAAGGAATGAATCATCTTTAATCAAGTTTTTTTTTTTTTTTTTTTGAGTATGAATCAGATACTATTTTAAGATAAAAGACGCATTATTTCCACTCACCGTTTGCCTTTGGTACCATCATGGAGCCAACATAGTGAGCACGGAACACCGTTGTGGGCTCGGCTTTCGGGGTTGGGAAGTCAACAACTGAAGATAGAAAAAGCTTTTGTAAGAAGGGCTGCAAATAGAGAGCCGCTTGCTCATTAACGTTGTGGACCATATTTTGGTTACTGTCAACACTAAATAACTCCATTGAGGAGACTGACTGTGTGTCCAAACCGCCAGATTCTCAGACAAAAATGAATAGCCTGTCCAGCGGAGTCTGCATGTTAATGAGTAGTTAAAGAAGAAAAGTACAGGAAATTTATTGCCTGGACATGACAAGTTTTAAATAAGCTCTCGTGAGGGCATAGCATTCAGCGAGTATCAAAGCTAGACACTGTGTGATGCATGCGCGACATTTTAAACATTCTGAATATGCAAATTAGTATTAAAATGGATTTACAGGCATCAATTCTTATAAAATTCAAATCTGTTTTGATGAGGAGATAATTATGAATTCAAATAAAACAATATACACAAAAAATAATTATTCCCAGCTGTCAACTAAACTGACATTCACATTATGTATTGTCACATTACGTACTTAGGCTATTTAATGATAAGAATTTTATAAAAACCCAAAATCTTGAATTGTGAAAGCGAACATCACAGTAAATAGCTATATACATGTAGTGATGTCACGCATATTACCAAGATTAAAATGAGATAAAAATGTTGACATTTAACAATTTCAGCAAATAAGCGCTAAAGTCTTAGTATGTGATAAAACCAATGGATGTGAATCGTAATATTTTAAACCCTTTTAATACACCTGGGAGGAGGGATGATGAATGATACTGTACTTTATTTTTGCTTGTAAAGCATGCGTAAAAAGACATTCGCATTTTAAGTGAATAGTTTTGTTAACAAGTGGAATCATTAAAACTGCCTGAGTTTGCATTCTACGTATGCAAGGTGTTTTTGTGCAGTTATGAAACCATTTCTCAGGAGAGCTGCTGACACTTACTCTAGATTCAAGTCAGGTCTGTTATGAATGTAATTTTTGGATACACACAAGTTAATGCTTTTTTTGGATGCATCATACCATTTAAACTGATGTCTTTGAAATACACTTAAGTACACGTAATTGCAACTTTGTCGACATTGGAATTTTGACAAAGCGCCACTATTATCAAACTATAGAATTGACATTTTGAAAATATATTATCTATTAAATCTGGTTTCCTTGATGAATGATGGAAGGATGACATTTTCCACATTGAAACATGTACTTGAAATATTTTTGGTATATTTGAAATATGTTAAAACATTTTTTTTATTTCTTAGCACTAAATGAAAATTTATGAACGGAAATAAACACATGGAGAGCCAACAAACGATTGTACTATACCCACAGCAATTAGTTACTTCATCAAGCAAATGAATCAAACGTTTTAATTTTCTAACTGACATTTGCATGATTTCCATATTCAGGATGGAGATAATTATTTTTAACAATGTCAGTCATTGTTTTAGATGAGGTTTCCCTCAATATATAAGGTGAACTACTCTGTTAATGACAACATGTACAGATTAATTCAAGCATACAGTCTTACTTATTCAACAACTGATCAGCTCATTTGTATTCAGGCTACACACTATTGGTTTCATTCACTGTCAGTTTTTTACAAGCAAACATGGGAAATATTGGAAAGACATTGCAACAAGCAAAACCTAATTCCCCACGGAATGAAGAAAGTTAGTCAACTTTGGAGTAACTAACAGTAATACTGTTTTGCTTTCAGTTTAATTTAATAGTTTACACTGAGTGCGATACGAGAGTCAAAAACGTTAGTGTCATGGATACAGACACATTAGTCATTACTGCTTAATAGCGCCATCTATCAATCTATCAAAGCAATTTAGTTACAGATTTTTTTCCTCAATACAGCTATTTCCATTTATTACCTTGCTAGAATACTGAACATTAATCCAACTGATTTTTTGTAAAATTGGGAAAATATAATATACATATGGATAAACAACAATATAGTTGCAATTTAAAGTATGCTACTTAAATTCATGCAATGCTACCAACTCTCATGATATGTCAGAAAAAAATAAAGAAGGTTTGAAAATTAGTGAAAATGTTGGATGAGACTCACTACGTGACAGCATCAACGTTGCTCAAAGACGATAAGAAATAATAAGATCGCGTGACCAATGCTTTACATGCATTCAGTAGAGAAATGTACATCACACAGAAATTTGCATAAGTCTCAGACAAATTACATTCAATGAATATTAAAGACGAGGGAGAACATCTCATATAATGCAAGACACATCCATCTATGTAAATAATTGCATCTAGATTCACCACGTTCACCTTTTAGCATCTTGCCTATCACAATACAACATTTATCTTGGATTCTACGGTGAGGACCGTCCCATGGGGTCAAAAAAAGATGCTCTCAGACTGTACTATGTGATTCATTCGTTTGATTTTACCCGACATCCAAGCATGACATTTGTTGAGATTAACGATTAGGTATTAAACTGATTATACGAACCATGACAGAGCATAGACTTTCTATATTACAGTGGGCGAAATAAGTTTGAAATTGATTGACTCAATTTAGATTGTGATACTGCACCAGATAAGTACATCTTGTATGGGATCACCAATTTACGCTACATTTTTTGTCTATTGATTCAATTCCTCAGAACAATTTTTTGTTATATTGACTTGATCAAGCAATACAATGCCCAGTATTTGAAATCAATATTGCATATATCATTGCACGGTTCTTTTCTATAATTTTGTTTCTTCCTGCCTAATTTTGTTACCATAGTTTTCACTAAGATTCACTCCACTATTTTGATTTGATTGTGTTTTAATATTCACTAATTTGATCCTGTAATAATTTCTATTTTGTTTTCACACTAATATAACATTAGGAGAATTTTTTTCTGAACTTAAATTTTCTTGATTCTACCTGGAAAATAGGTGAGCAGACATTGCCATGGTAACAGGATTTGTTTTCATGGAAACCATTATTTTTTTTATAATTATACTCAAAAAATGGTTTGCTGGGGAAAATATTGGACATAACATATTTCACTACCAACCATCCTTAAGGACACATCTAACATTTTGGACAGAAATTTCATGACAACAAAATGTGAGTAGTAAACCAAAATATTCTCAGTTTGTTTATTTTGTTCAATTTTCAATCAAAAATGGCTGCCAGAAAGGGTTAAACATTATGTGAAAGTTACCATGGAAACAATCACATCAAGAATTTGCAGTGCTGTTAATATTCCACATTTTGAATGGTTGACCATGTTCATCAATAAAAACAAAACATTTTGGCTTCTTACCTTGGTTTGGTAAAGATTCTATCTTATCTGCATCTCGTCTCTGGATGGCAATCGGCCGGGATGACTGTGGGATGTGAGTAGTATGTGGATGTACTTGACCTTGGGTTACCATGGAAATAGCATTTGTTTTCCTTCTTTGTGACATGACTTTGGAGCAGATTTCATGGAGAGCATTAGCTATCGCCTTGGCAGGGATGTCACAGCGAAAAACGTGACACTTGAACTTTTTGGAACCTTTGTCCTTGGCTACGTATGCAAAGTCTCTAAAATAGAAACAATAAATCAAATGATTAGGGAAGAACTGTACATTATAGATGGGTCAAGCACAAGACAGAAAGCAAATATGAGTGATTAAAATAAAAATTAAAGCAGTTTCCAGTATATGGTGGCATTAAATGCAAGCTAAGCTGAAAACTAGCTTTAAGTCAACTGAAAGCTAGCTAAATGTTATGCTACAGACCATACTGTTATTACCAACGTATTACTAAGATAATGATGTTTGCAGAGTTTTCTGCATTATAACAATTTTATACAATTACCTATACAGGTCATTTTATAATATCAGTCATAAAACATGTCGTTCACTAACCATTGTCATATTTTGCATGCACTACTAACCAGTGACAAGCACTGTTCGATAGGAATTCAGTCTAATTCCAGACTGGTTTATAGAGGGACAGTGTTGTGGCTAAGATGTCTGACATTTACACAAAGGTCAATTTGTGAAAATCACACGATGCAGTAGACTAGACTAGAATAATAATGAACACCAGTAAAAGTGTGTAATGAGGAGGAAGATCTACTTAGTAAAAACAAGTCTGCAAATCCATTCAGAAATACAAAACCAGTTTCAAAATATCATTAAAATGTTGCAAGAAAATCACATCTTGAAAACTGAACTGATAAGCATCTTTATTATAAACTTTCTCCCCATGACATTTCGGAAAGCAGTTGTACTCTAAACTATTGTTTAATTTCCTCATACATACAACCTTTTGTTAAAATAATTATTTGTCTGTTTCGATAAGACGCAATATAGTAATTGCATCACTCCTACCAATGGTTCTCATTAACCAAATTCCATTGAAACATGAATTGCACACCTTTGCCTGGATTTGCTCATCTAGACCAGAATTACAATAATAATAAAAAACACCAATGCAATACAGAGTGTTTAATGAACAGTCTAGACATTCTTACAAGCATGGCTATCTGAATCTTGGTAATCAATAATTTAATTTCCGAAATGGGTTTAAACTGTATAACCCAAATTTAATCTGAAGATACCTATCGGAGGCAAGTGAGATAGATAAGCACATGGCAGTCAGAAATGCTCTTACAGGGAAAAGAAATCCATTTTCTCTTTTCTGCAGTCCATTCATCAGAATGGAGTATCTTCTTTCTCACATGATGTTAAAATTATTTTAAATGATGTATTCATCATCAAACCTTAATTTTGTCTTTATTGTTATTTAATTTAATTACTATTTGGTATTTAATGTCTAACTTGAACTTGTCATTCTATTTAAACACTGTACTGTATTTGCTTGTTAAATTCATATGTCAAATAGAAGTACATATAAACCTAAAATTACATTTGTTGTACATTACAACATTAATATATTACTTGTTTTGACCATAGAAACACCTCTGTAATTTACTAATAGAAGCAAATAGAAGAGACCCTTTGATTCCATTTTAAGCCATTTTTATATATTTGTCAAGAATTTTTTATTTCATTGGCAACACAGCTTGATCAAAATTGTTGAGAAAATAATATGCAATTTCATTTTGTGAACAGAGAAACAAGTTAATTTTGTCATTCAAAGTAAAAGACATTTTACTGCAGTAATAACCATTGAGTAAGAATTTAACCCTACCCTAAACATGGTTTTTGAATGCAACACTTACTGTTCAATGCAGATGTGAATATGCTTGGAAAGTTTAGATATATTTACTAATCAGCAAGATAACTAGAGATATTTTTTAGTACTGACAAAAATACTGTGTGCAAAGCTTCTTGGGAAAAAAATTATTGATGCCACAAATTTCATATGCATATTCATTCAGGAGAAAGCGATATTTTGACGGAATGCTCACCTGTAACCTGTACAATATATGACACCTGATATTAAACATGGTCAGAATGATGAACGATGTCTGACTATAGCTGGGGATATGGTCAATTTACACCTAATAGTTACTGAGAATATCACATGATTGATGGATACAATGCCAAGCACCGCCTACTCACTCATAAATAAGGAATACATATGTGATAAATGTCTGTGAGGTGAAATGGACGTGACAGGCGTTTAAGTTAAACTAGTTTAAAACCCAGAATTTAGGCGTTGTTTTCAGACGTTTCAGCATGATTATTACGATGTAATATGTGAAAATAAATTCCCAACATAAAAAAAGGCTATGATGTGATACAACATCTTATTCTATAATCGCACACATTGTCACTTCCACTGACAACATTCAAAATGGCTGCTACCGCGAATGATATATTTATAACACTTTTCAGATTCTAGGGGTCGCTCATTCAAAAAGAAGCCGCTTTATCACTTCACAATATAATGTGTATATTTTTATTAACTCAGAAATTAATAAATAGGGTGTGCAGTAAATGAATCCTTTTTTATACATCAAGCAAAGTGGGATAATTTATATTAAAACAGCAATACTTTGAAATTAGAGGTGTACATACCTGTCAAGTTTTGATATTAGGTGAAAAATTGTTTTGTTAGAATAGGTGAGATGTCCCGAGAGAGACAACCTTTTATTGTAATACACAGCAATAAATGTTTCATTTACTTTCTATGAAATGTACATTAATACTGAAGAGTGATGTCGAATGCTATTAATCTTGTGATTAATAACTATGAATATTTCATTATTAAACAAGCACATGTCTGATATCAAGGTTGAGGTTAGGTACAGTCCATGAGGATTTATCTAGCATGGTTAGATTGACTTTTTGATACTGTAGAATTCAGTATTTCCCAATTTAAAATTGTTACTTTTACAGAAAGAAGCCATGTAATACATTAAAATCATCAATAATAAAATCTCCTGAAAATTTTTTTTTTTTAAACGGTTTAGCTCACGATTTACAACAAGTTCAGTTTAAAAAAATGACATGTATTAAACCCAAATTGTGGTTTGCAGAGAAAATGTGATAAGATCAAATTCAAATCAATCAACTGCCATCGACAATATTCTACCATTGAGGGCGCTGCTTTTTACCCACTATAGCAGTTCTGTGCATCCATTTTTAATTCTCTCTGATTTAATATTAATATGTTGCTTCAATTTACAATTTAGACTTTTATTTTTAAATTTTGTGAAAAAACATGATAGATGAATTGTCAAGTAAAAAAAAAACTGCTGCAATTTTTACTGACATAGGTTAGTCATATGTTATTTAAAATGGTATTGAAAATAAGACAACTTGACCTCTTGACCCATAACCCTATACTAT